GGCTGAGGGGAGACATTATCACTTTCTACAACTACCTGAAAAGGAGGTTGTAGCGAGGTGGGGGTCGGTCTCTTCTCCCAAATAACAAGCGATAGGATGAGTGAGTCCCCATCCCTGGAGGTATTTAAAAGATGTGTAGACGTGGTGCTTGAGGATATGGTTTAGTGGTGGACTTGGCAGTGCTAGGTTAACGGTTGGACTTGATGATCTTAAAGGTCTTTTCCAACCTAAACGATTCTATGATTCTATGATTTTCATGTTAAGAATGGGGATGTAACACTTGAGCAGTGGGGTGGAGAAACACCTTGGGGAATAGATAATTCCATTACAAGCTACATAGCTTAGAGGGTACTCAGTAAATAAGACCTCAGACTTCATTGTTGAGTGATAAATGATTGGTATGAAGCAAACATCCATCTATTTTAATGAACAACGCTTATTCCTCTTTGAACAACAGCGCAGTAGATACATGCAATTGCTGTCTGGTTCAATATGTGAAAAGTATTGAGCATGCAGTGGAGCACAGGCTGTCACTGGTGCCTGTGCTTGTTTCAGGAACAAAGAGTTGTGCACGCAGAAGGAGCAGTTTTCCTTTCAGCTATCAGGTGAGGAGGGAGGCAGAAAACCCAGTCTCTCATTTCCAGTAAGGATAGAACAGTTATGCCTGTGAATGACATCAGGAAAAGCTGTAGTTATTGAACAATAAGTGGGTTAATGTTTAATTGCACAGCAGTTAGTGTATTAGTGATGGATACTTTCTATCCATTTGCAAAAATATTATAAATAGATGGATACGTGAATTTATTATGATGGAAAGTGGGCCTTGGTATCAATTGAGCAGGCATAAGTCAGAACATCACCTGGCAGCTTTAACAGAGTTTGAGCAAAGTGTTGAGGCATTTTTTCTATAATTTTTTTCCGACTGTGTGCATATAACATTGTAAGTCTTTTGACTATAAAACTGAAGGAATGAGAGAGGAAAAAAAAGAAAAAAAAAAAAAAAGAGAAGGTTTTTCCACCTCCTTACTTCAGAGGTTTGATTGTGAAGGACTCACTTAAAGAAAGAACGGTATAAATTGCCAGGGCAGGCTTTACTTTTTCTCACCTATCACAAATACTGTGTTTCTGTAGAAATTTCTTGGGTTTGACTTACATGGAAAAACAGAGAGTATTGTTGCTTTCATAAGACTTTCAACAATCACCTCCTACAACAGTTTAATGGTCAGAAGGAGTAACGTGCTTGTGAAAAAGCAGATGATGCAAGTGCTCTCTGTAGTAGAGTCATAATCAACGAAGTAAACATAATTGTTTTAATTCTGCTGAGATTTATACAAGTAATGGTACTACTATTGCTAATATTTAGTGCTTTATTACACTTAGATGTACTTCTGGCTTGTACTGTTGCAGGTCTTGAACAGAGCAGGTAAAAACTATAGCTGGCACAGCATTCAGGAAACACCTTTTTTTTTTTTTATCTTAAGCAGAAGTGTCTGTACAACATAGGCAAGTACTTTTGATGTTTTTACAGGCATCAGTTGGAATATAATCTTACTGTTCCACAGAGTTTACTCTTCTAGTCTACTTTTTCTAGAGACAGAAAAAACATCTTTGCCTTGAAAAAGGGACTTTTAACAAATGGATTGAGTGCAGAACAATGACTCATAGTGATGTTTAGGTTTTAAAATGTGAAAGGTAGGTGAGCTTCAGATAGGAGAGAGATGGGAACAGTGTGCAAAGGAAAGTTCTGATACATCTCTGATAGAAAGCTGTGGATTGGTCTAGACAGCGGTGATTTCAAATGAAATGAAAGTGAACCAAAAATGAGTTTAAGGCAAAAATTTATTTTGGTAAAAGTTGAAATTACTGTATCCTACTGAACCCAAATCTGTATGAAACATGTCGAGTTCTTTATGGCACGTTCCTTGAAAGACAGCTATTTTCTGGACGTGCATTATGGTTCTCCTACTGTGTTTCATTTAGGTGGGTTTTGTGCTTCTGTACATGTTCTCATAAATGTCCTACCTGACCTAAGCCTACTAAGGTCTCATTGGTTACTGGAAGGTGCAGTCCTTGCCAACTCCATCATGCTGGCCATAGTACTTGCAGGGTCAGTCAAAATGGATAGTTAATCACATTGAAAATTAATATTGCCAAAGAAGACCCCTTAGGATCGGTTTTCAGTCAGATCACTTTTCTGACAGAGAGGGACTAACAGAAACATGCCTGTCAGATGTAAGGTGAATTTAGATCTCTTAAACTCGTTATAAACTGCCTCATAAAAGGTAATTTTCCTGTGCTATGTTAAAACAGAGAAAGTCAGAAGCTGTATCATATATGTAGGATGAAGTACCTTTTCTTGTTTCATACAACTGTTAATCCTGAGAAGCAGTCCAGAGTTCAACTAAGTCATTTCAGTAGAAGGAGGAAAGTGTGGGAGACAACTTGGAAGCAATCTGTTCAAAGAGAAATTTGTCATTGCTACAGAAGCTGCTTACAGAACTTGCCTGTTTCCCAAGAAGGCCATTTCACCTATCTTTCCAAGTTTAGACCTGAATTGAGATGTTCTTACTGGCTCAGCAAGGTCTTAAGCAGAGGCCAGCACTGCCAGTGGTGCAGAACATATTAATTATGGAGTACTTTGTGGTGTGGACCACTGCCTGTCAAAGATCGGTAACAAAGATCACCATATGCATTGCAATTAGGAGACCATGCTCTCTGAAGTGGATTTTTTCCCCTCTCTCTATTCTTTTTTCAGCCTAGCAATTCAGAGATGGTGCTTCATCTTAGATGTTTTTTCTGTCTCTAGAAAAAGTAGACTAGAAGAGCTAAGAAAAAAGCTCTTCACTAAAGACAAGGTTCTAAAATTATCTTCAGATAAAGTAACAGTTGTATACTTGTGTCTTTACAGATGCTTTGAAAACAAATGAAATCCCATCTGAAGGTTCCCTTGTCTAGCATCAAGTACAGATCAAGCAATTTACAGTTTCATAACACTTGCACGAGAAACGTAAACAGTCTTACAGAATGAGTCTTTTGGGCATAACTTACGTAAAGTTCATGTAAGCATACCTACGTGATAGTATTTAACAGTACAATTAGACATGGATGGGGAGGTAACACAACATGCATGTTAAAGGTTAATGGTTCTTTCTATCTGTGACTTGAATAACCATCACTGTTCAGCCTTAATTTCTATTGATGAAGGCTTTGAAAAATCATGAAATGGCATGCTTTCAGTATCAGTGAGTGACAGCTTGCATTAAACTACTAAGTTTTGATGTAACATTCATTGATTTCTTAAGATTGAATGTTGAGGATGGCAAACAGAAGTATGTTTAAAAATGCCACAGGTATGAACATGCTTGTTTATCTCATCCCTCTTGTGCTTTCTCAAGCATCGAGATCTTACGTTATGAGTTTTTGTAGGGAGACGCTTGCAATTCTATCATTTGCATGCTGTGGTAACTACGTGCTTCTCAGCAATCTTGTCTTTAGGAGCTGAATCTCTGCTGTATATTGTGAAGTCTTGGATTAGCAAATGGAAAAGAAAGAAGCATTAGATAAATGCACATAGTTATCTTTAAAATACTTCTTAGTCTGTCAAATGCTTGATTAGAAATTCCAAGTTGGTGTGCATGAACTGTCCTATATCTGGTTTTGCATCCTTCTCAGGAGTCTGGAATTGAGTGTTGTCTCTGCTTCCAGGGAATGAGTCCACCAAAGTCTGTGTTCAGGAATATTTCCCTTACTCAAAGTACTATGTTCCCCATGTAATCTAAGCCTAATTACCATATTACTTCAGACCATTTTTACAGGTCTGAAGTGAATAGACTTCCTTTTTTTCTCTGGACTTCTTTCCCAGCTGACCAGCTAAGCAACTTAAAAATATTGGTGTGTTGTCCACATCAAGATTCAGGAGACTGATTTTCAGGGTATTGCTTGTTTTGTTGCTTCCTTTTATCACTGTTCCAGTTACTTTGGTTGTATTACTGATCTGAGTCACCCTTTTAATGTATTGCAAATAACAAAGTTACCTCAAACCTGAAACATTTTGAATAGTTTGTCCTCTTTTGATGGTAGCACATCTTTCCTGTGCTTTCACTTTACTTGGAACTCTGGACTTCCCTAATGAATCAGTAATTTGATCTCTAATGTGAGAAGGCTGGCATCTTATCAAATCAGAATGAAATGAAGGACATAGGTTGTTGTTAACAATACACAGTAACTTACTTCTTGACAGCTTTGATTTGAGCAGAACAATGAATAAATCAGAAAACAAATGTGTATTATTGTGAAACATAAAAGGTTAGGGAGATCGTGCAATGTCTTAATCCACTGTTCTTTATTCTGTAAAGACATCATTTTTAAGTTCTGGTTGTGCACCCAAATAAAAGCAAGTTTGCTGTTCTGTTCCTTCAAATGCTTCTGCAGTTCACAAAAACAAATACATAATTTTAAAGAATTCAGCATGCTTGGGAATATCTGTTTCAAGACAGGACCCCTGAGCACATCAGGGCTGACCTGCATAGGCAGAAAGGCTGGAAAAGCTTGATTGGCTTCACCTGTACTTTGTGCTTTATTCAAACTTCTACTGTTAACCTCTCATTTTTCTGTGCACCCAAGTTATACAACATATATTCACATAAATTTACCTGATCCCTGATTTTTTTCTTCCTGTTTCAAGTGTTATCTTTTGGACTTCGGAAAGAGAGGACAGATCTCCACAAGCTTCCAGTTTTGATAAATCCTCAAGTGTTTTGATAAAAAGACTGCTGTGAAAAGAAACAGCATTCCCCCTCTAGCGATGGTCCTTAACTTTTGAGGCTTTCTTGTATTTTTAGAGTGTGGTTTAAAGAGGATGTATTATGCCACTAGTACTGCTCCCAGATAACTCAGAAAAAGATCCATATAGCATTTCATAACACTGTAACTTTTGTTGAATTTCTGAGTGTGCTGTTTGAACTGATCACAAAAAAACTTCTAATAAATTCTTCCCACAGAAACTGAAACAGAAGAATCAGCAGCTGAAGCAGATCATGGATCAGTTACGGAATCTTATTTGGGACATAAATGCCATGTTGGCAATGCGGAACTGAACAAGGAAAATCAAACTTTGTAATTCGAAAAGACACAAATTTGTTTGGATATACTTAATTTCTTTCTAAGAAGTAACATGTTTTCCCACAACCATATTGCAGTAATGTTTGAAAAGTCTTCAAGATTAAAATGTTGGGGTTTTGTAATAACTTAAATGGTACTGGCTTTGTTTTTATAAAAGATTCATCCTACAGGTTTTACCTGGGTGATTCACTTAGGCTGAATATAATACAGCCTAAGTAACATACAGTAATAATTTGCATTGCTATGCAAATAGGGAGGTTTATAAATGAAGTGGTTTGGGATTTTTTTATAATACAATTAACATCGTTTTAAAAACACGTGTTTGCATGCCATTCTGCAGTGCAAACCACCTCTACAGACAGGAGAAGTTGCAATACAGAGAAGTCGCTCTAGTAAGCCACAGGACTGAAGTAAGGGATCAGATATTACAACGCAATATGTTTCGCCATTGTGGGAACATATTCTACAGGCTGCTATGCCATATAAGTTCATGTTGTTCCATATCCTATCACTGGATATATGTTATATTAGGTAAACAGGCGCAAAATTCAAAAGCTACATAAAATTACCCCTATATCCTTATGGATATAATTAAGTCTTTTTAAGTGAAGACTACATACATATAGCCTCAACATTAACTTCTTCTGTAACTATCAGTTATAATTTCTTGAGTACTGCTCCGGCTATCGTATGGTGTAGTATTCCTGTAGCATTATGTATGCTTGGAATACTTTGGTTTTGTTTACCAGAATGCACTGAATAAAGGCTTCATTAATCTTTTTCCTATGACTGCCAGTCCTAGAAAACTTTGGAGTATATGAGCAGCTCATTATTTTGAGTTAATCATCAACCTTCATCTTTGGTTGTTCTGCCTCTGGTATTCCTCACAATTGTCATTAGCCCTGAAAATAGTCTTAATAATTTGTGTTATCCACAGATGCTGCCAGTGGACTACGTGCCTCTTTTTCCAGATGAAAGAATATGTAAAATAACACAGCTTCAGTACAAATCCATAGGGCACTCTACTGTGAATATTTGTCAAGTTGAAAACTGACCATCCTAATGATTTGCTTCTTGTGTATTACTTTTAACTCTCATTCCATGTGCAGTCAGATTCCTTAATAGTTTTGTGTGAAAGATCTGCTCAGAACCTTTTGAAGAGTCCAGTTAAATGGTATCCTTTTAAAATATATCCTTTTTGCAATATGGGGTTTTGATACTGAATGCTTATTGATTTAAGATATATGGTTTTAAAAATGTTATACTGGTTTGTTGTTCTATCAGTCTTTTTTATTTTGTTTTTTAATAATTTCAACCTATTTGTCTACTCCTTGAGGTAAAAATCACTGGCATGTAATAGATCTGATCACACCTGGTTAACAATATATGACTTTTCCCTGAAATTAGGTACAATATAGTTGTCTTTTATTTCTTCTTCTGAAGGCTTTAAATCTTAACAGATGACTGGATGCCCAGTCTTATAATTGCAAATAAACAGAGTTAGAAAATATTCCTTTTGATTAGTTTACCCAGTGTTGAAAGTGATATGTAACTATGACGATACCTAGATGTGAGTAGATGTCAAAACACCTTACAAATAAGGTTGCTCTCTTTTCTCCCATATCACAAATGGAGGAGTGGATAGCTTACTCGGCAGCAAGGCTAGCAGCAGAGCTGTTCGTTTCCCATTTAGATTGACCACTGTGGCAGACTCATTGGTCAGAAATAATGGTTGATTTCTGCAGCTGTGAGAGACGTAATTATTTTACAGACAAAGCTTTTGAAAAGGAGATGAAGACTGCAAGTAGAGATTTTTGTTTTGTTTAAAATGCAGGCGCATTTTTGTATTTGCAAGGTTTAGTGGCAGCTTTCTGTTTAGTGTGTCTATAAGCGTGCATCCAGCCTAGAGGAAGTATTTGAAGTGGATTTTGAAATGGCACCAAGATCTTAATTGTGAGTGTAAAAGTCTCAGTAGTTACTATTTTGTTCTATTTTTGGAAAATTATGGAAAATGGAGATTAGTCCAGACTTTACTGCCTGCATAGCATCTATGTATTCTTACTAAATGTCTTTAAAGTTTGTTGACTTTTTTTATTGCATATGAACTGTGCAGAAGTAACCTAAAATGTGAATAAGAGTGCAAGTATTGCAAGTAGATGTCTGGCCAATACAATATTCAGCTTACTCTGTGCAGCTGCTAGCAGTAGCCAAGGTTTATACTACAATTTTTCATCTGGGAGAGAGGAGAAAACACTTTAAACCACTACCAGAAGAGATAGTGCAGTAGCTAAATTGCAAAGTGCAGAAATGGACAGAATTGTAAATTATCACAGTAAATACTGTCAAAACAGGAACTTTGCAAGGTGTTGGACCAAAACCATACACTTTGACTTACACAGATGAAAGTAAGGGTAGTGAACATAATTCATATGCTGCCACATCCATGAATAAGTATAGGATTTGGCCAAGAAGATGACAGTTTTAAAAAAAGTGGCAATTCCTTAGCTGTGAAACACTTTTAAAGGAATTACTGGGCATCAACATGTGCTGAAATTTAATATTTAAGTTAGTGCTAACTGAACTTTAACTGCTGGTTAATGAAATGGCACCAAGTGAAGTATTTACAAATACCAGCAAAGCAATACCAACACAGATGTTTCAATGTTTTGTTTATGTATCATTGACTATTTCTGTATTTCTGATTAGGCAGAAGCTGGGTAAACATACAGACAGTCCCAGGAGCAGATACCAGAACCTAGGATGGTTCAATTTCTGGAATATAAAAACATTTGAGGGGGTTGGGGTTCTTAGGGCTCTGTTTTGCCCAGAGAGTACTTTGGGGCAGCGGAGCTAGGATGCTGAATACTTTGTAGCATGTTTGTGGGAGTACCCCAAGTTAACACACGCTCTCAAAATGAAACCATTAATCCAATACCTTTGCAGACAATATAACAGATATTGAATTTTCGGTTCAGTGTCACAACACAGAAGATGCCCACTAGGCAGTATGCAAAGGTCCAAGGTTTTTCTTACATAAAAAGAGAAGAGTGCAGAGCAGATTTATGCCACATTCAGGAAAGATGCAAGGAGTTTACCTTTCCTCTTGTCTTCCATAGAGGCAGCAAGGCCACATCCAGAGTGCTCTAATAAACCATGACAGTTTTTGTTGTCCTGTAGACAAAAACCTGCTCTGATTATAGTATTTCTTGCTGACAGAGAAACTGGAACTTGTGCACAAGTGCTACTTAAATTAATCACTGTAAAGAATGTATTTAAGTGGAGTAGGACAAGGACTCTGGTCTCATAGGAACCAAGATTTCATCGGTGTGCAAGATGGCTGCACAAGCCAAAAAGACTACAGCTGAAGGATGACTGACAACTGCTGTGGAAAACAGTAAGCTGTAGATTTGAAGATCTGAAGTTAAGAAAAAATGTCAAAAAAAAAGAAGCAATGACACCCAAGGACACTGTGAGTCAACTGAGGTTTACAGAGGATGGATTAGTTTAATTACTTCGTGCTAACAAAGGAAATGGGGAATTATAGAGGAATTTCAGTGCAGAAAAAAATATTTGAAGGAGAAAATGAGTAGTTTGCTCACTCTCCTTATTTAGTAGTGATGAAGACTGATATGGTAGAGCATCCATCGTTTAAAAGAGAAGGTTTTTTGGTGAGTTGGAAGGTTACTCCATTTTTATACGTAAAAATAACAAGCTGGCTAATATGTATTGCAGGATATTAATGAAAGTGACAAAAAATATTTACCAATGCCAATTTTTATTTAAGAAAATGTGATGTAAGAAGTAAATAAATGCAATCTAGTGAAACTTTTGTCTTGTTAAATCTAACTTCTGTGTAAATTTTAAGGATTTTTCTTACATTGCATAAGGGACACATTCTGGCATCTGTTACAAAACTACGCAACACATAACACTACTAAAAGCTGGGAATAGTGTTTGTATTGATGTGAATGTAGTCAGAAGCAGAATACATGCTTTACAGCACTTCTCACTGGACTAGGTCCAGTAAAGACCGTAGGCATATTTGAGGCAAATAAGCAGAGACACGTTTTCTTGTGGGCACATAACTCTGGGAGCATCTCAGCTCATTGCATGCCTTCATGTTCAACTTGCAAGCTACCTGATTGCTTGGAGTTCTGCCTCTGTGCATGTTCCCAGCAGCTGATGATATCTGATGATCACTGCTGAGGTTGTACAAACCGTGATTTTTCTGCCCAAATCCATAGGAGGCCTGACATGCTAGGCCTGCTTTGGCCCCTCATGCTCTCACTTTCCCCTCTCAGCTGACGGCCCCTACTACAGAGCTATAGAGTAATGCTCTGGAATAGAATTGAAAATGAGTGGCTGAAAGGAATGAATTACATACACATCTGTGATAAAATCCTTTCCTAGGTCTGCGTGCGCTTTCTCATTAAATGTTGCTTGAAAAATAAATTCAGATTTGCCTAAATAGGAAGAAAGATACGTGATTTTAAAGTTGTCTGAGTAGCAATGGATAGCAATGCAGTTGTTTTTATAGCCATGTAGAGGTTTTAGTGGTATTTACAGTCCTGGAGAGCGGGGAAGAGGGTCATGAAGACAGTCCATTTCTGAAATACATTGTTGAAGTGGGAAGACTCTCAAACAATAAGGGGAAAATATAAAGAAATATAACAGCAACAGTCAAAACTTAGGTGAGCACAAACTGGCTATAAAATAGAGGCAAGGAAAGAGGATTTGGGAAAACACATTTTAAACCTGCGTTAAAGAGATAATTGGGTTGCAGTGAGAGGAAAAAAAACACTGCAGTTTTGGGGTGCACGACCAAATATTGTGTAGTAGGGAGTGTAAGTGTAAGAGCTCTTGCTCTCACACCAGTAATTCTGATACAGTAATTCTGCGTGAAATACTGCATTAGTTTTGGGGTCAGCATGTTACTAACACAGTGAAAGAGAAGAATACTGATGTGCTACCATATGAATAATCATTAGAATAACTTGTGAAAGCAAAGACGAGGCTCAAATGTAGAAATTCTTGGGTAGATGCAAAGGGAAGGTAATTAGAGTGATTTGGAGTGGCTGTAGTACAGAATGGTGAAAGAAGGTAAGCAAGAACTTCTTTCACCAAACACCAACGAGGAGGGGTGGG